AGTGGAAATTTCACACAAAAAAAAAAAATTTATCAATAGCACTTCAATAGTATAACACTGTTACACAAATTGATGAACCATTTTGGAACAGAAATGAAGAAACTGAAAAGGTTAGTGTAACTAAATTTTAAAAAATTTTCTATAAAAAAGGAAAATTTTTTCAGGTTAATTAGCAAATTTTCTGATGTTTTATGCTACTGTTGTTTTTTTGTTCTTTTCACAAAAATTTGTAATACCTTAACAATGGTTAATCAGTTGCTTTATTGTTTAAAATTTTTAAGCTTATGATAATTAATTCAGCTAAATGTCATCTAAAATACATTGATATTTTCCAGAAAAATTAGTATAACTGTGTAGCAACAACAACTTCAAGATTCAATCTCAGATTTAAACTTCACAGTAATTAGTGAGGAAAAATTTGCAGTATTTATTTATTTATTTATATATATATTTTTTGGTGCAATTGCAGTAGTCATTATTCAGTAAATGAAAAACAGTCTTTCAAAGGTAATAATTGACTGTTAGTATCATTTCACTAAGGAGCATTGTTTTGTTTTGTTGAAAAACTCAAATAAATCGACTTTTTAAAATTTTAGGCAGAACAAATAGTGGCAGAAATATATTTTTAGTATAACAGTCTTTGATACTGCTAATTTATTGAGAGTTTTTATTGTAGTAGGTTAACCTAAAATTATTAGTTATTTCTATCGTTCTCCCTTCTTATGATTGATTAATGAAGGTTTATGAAATGAAATATAAGTTGACTTATTTGATTTGTTTTAATGCTAAAATTCAAGCAGTTATGAAAATTCATATATAATTTGATGATTTATCACAGCAGCAATAAAAAAAAAAAAAAGGAAGAAAAAGAAGGATAAAAGCTAAAGCAACATAATGGCTTCAATGGCAGTTTCTATTGCTTTCTGTTCAGTATAAATTTGTGCTATACAACACCGTTCTTAGGTATTGACACTTTTTTCGACAGATATTTCTTAAAATTTTAAATTTATTAACCTGTAGTTTTCAAATGATTAGGCTGATTTGGAGAACAATCGAACTGATTTGTCTTATTGCTGTTGAACGTTTATAAAGTGCCAATTATGTATTGCAATAGATAAAACAACAAATGTACTATAGAGGTTTATGTTTTGAAGAAATATAGTTGATATATTACCAATATCACTTTTTTTTTTTTCAACTGAAAGTAAAATCAAAATAATTTTAAACGTATAATTAGGCTTATAATTCCAATACTTGTATACTTTCCCTGATTAAAAATGCAATTAAGGTTTGAAAAAAAAATGAACTTCTGATATATTACATATACGCACAAAAAAAAATCAACTTCCTGCTTGTTACTAAAGCAACCGGTATCACACGGTTAACACTAAAGAAAAAGTTAAAAAAACGGTCAATTAAAATAACGCGCTGTTGATTACAGATAAAACCAACATCGTCTACCGGTATCATTAAATTTAAGAACCAAAAAAAATAATTGAACTTATGCTGAAATATACTAAAAAAGAGCATATAACCTGGGCATTGTTCACCAAAATTGTTTCTTCATTTAGTTAGCAAAAGCATTTTGTCGTTAAGAACAATCCAAAAATTGTCCACTGAGCAAGTACCGTTCAAAGATCAAGCTTAAACTGGTCAACTAAAGTTTCTTTTAATAAAGCGCCATAAATAATTCTTAATTCTCAGACTTACTAATTTTTTTTTTTTTTTTT